TTTAGTTTAATGTTATTGCGGGAAATAGATAAGCTAATGCACTTACAGCTTTAGGATTAGGAAATGCTAAGAGATAGTTTATATTAACTGGGAACAAGGTGTTAATGTTAGTTAGTAAACAATATAGTGGTGGGCATTCATCATTAAGAGTGCATTGCAGAAAGATATGATCTAAAGTACCGATAGATTTACCGTAACTATACATAAGAGAGAAGGTTTACTTTTTTGCTTATATAGGCATTGTGGTGAGCAAAAGTGACCCGATCGAAGCCTGATAAGTACACTAGTTATTTGCTTGTTGAATTTTTCGAACCTATAAAAGCAAGGTTTGATAAAGACACTAGGATTTTTTTTAGAATATTGATATTTGTAGATCTCCCATTGCTTTTGCCAGTCTCATACGAGTATAGTTTAATATTATGAATAAGATCACGACTTACGTTCGCGTAGTACTCGCAATCAATGCCGCTCATTTTGAACGAAGACAATTTCTTATAAGGCTTGTTGCAATAAAATGGGCAGCCGATCCGCTTTATTCATGCCGGAGGCGCCTCGCGTTTCAGATCTAACACCTTGTGAATAAATTGTAAAACTCATCAGCGTGATGACGTCACAGCGTTTTAAAAAAACCGAGAGAATACTGCGCTCTAGATATTGTTACGGGCTGGGGTTCGGGATAAATAAAATTTCACCAAAGTACACCTAAAAACTGTATTCAACACTTAGAATACTTAAAGTACTTCACAAACACTTTAAAATTCTCAGTTCGTTTCTTCCGCTTCGCTTCATGTGATCCTTTGATTTTTCGCTTCGAGTAGTTCCGATTACTAACTCACTGCGTGCCATCTCTGCAAAGCTTTTATAGCCGATACCACATCCCTAGAATTATCGAGAATATTCCACACATCTCTAGTATTGTGTTTCCGCTATCTGAAAATAGATGGCATTGTACTTCTCAACCGTTCTAGGTGCTACTAGGTTCTTCGATATTCGTTCGACTATTCGGCGATAGATGGCGTTACTCTTACCGGCGTAACAATATCTTTAACATTTTCATGAAAACAAAACAGTGCGTTCCGATTTGACCAAATACGTTTAATAAAAAATTAACATAATATGTTTGCATTAGATATTTCAAAGTGCTTAAAAACATTAATTATAATTAAACCCGACTTTGTCGTCGCCGCAAAAATATTATGCTTCCCATTGCATGAACGTATTTGTCTCCGGCTATTTCGTTTTCACCAGGAAAAGTGGTCTATTTAAAACAATAAGAACCTTTTTTTTTTTACTGCCTTTGTCATCTCATTTAGAAAGTAAACGTTTATTTAACGCAATCATTATTTTATGATATACCAAATTATTTCCTTCCGCATGAAGCTACTGTCACGCCGATAAAAGTAACGCCATCTATCGCCGAATAGTCGAACGAATATCGAAGGATGATTGATAACTGGTCTCAACGTTTAAAGGACTGTATTGCATCCAATGGAGACCACTTCGAATAAGCTTTTTATACTTTAAATTGTTTTATATTTATGTATTAAACTAACACACTGTAAAAGTAATAAATGTTATTTGTCATAGATTTTTTTTGTTTTCCTTTGTAACAGTATTTATGGCCAGACTAAGTATATATGTATGTTTACAGTCTCTGGTACTCATAACACAGCGAATCCTAAATTGCGGCCAGAAAACCGTGTGTGAGTTATTCCCAATTATATATAGGTATATAGTTATTATTATAAATATCCTACAGGTATCCTTCAGGTAGTTAGTTATCCTTGATACTGCGCGCATTGTGAGGAGGCTTCTCACTCTCTGGAGTCCTAGCCACCTTCCATCATCTACATCACTAGATTTTTTGGCATTGTATAGCTGGCAAGTTAAATGTTGAATGATAAAAATGAGGAATTGAATTATTTTTTGATCAGCATTATACCGTATTATTTATAATTATTCCATAAAAAAATCACTTCTTTATTGTCTAACTAATGAAGTTTAGTATATAGAATATAAAAAAATATTAATTTCGGTAAATACATTGCTAAAGTAAATCGCAAGTAAATTATATTCCTCTAAAACAGTGAACGGAGAACATAATATACAACTGGCCGGGTAGTAGCTAAGATTTTATATTATGTTGATGTGTGTACGCAATGTAGAGGTCTGCCGTGATCAATAGAAGTTTTTAAGACTATAATAAACAACATATTATTATATCAATGGCAGATCTGGTCAATTGCTTTCAAAATTTTATTTTTTTAGCATTTTCAAAGTGGTCTGCCACAAAGTAAAATGCGCGATAATGGTCTGCCATTCTTATTTTCGGATAATAATAATCATATATTTTCAAAATTTCAAAACGGCAGACGTGGTCAAATGGATTTAAAATCCGTCAAAATCGGTACCTGTCCTACCTGAGCGCTCGGCGCGTCGACCACTTTGAGCTTAGTAAGTCCCCTCCTCATGCATGGTAGGTATAGGGGTCTCAATGTACGAAAATTCAGGTCTGGTCAAATACATACAGGTAGAGCCCACGGGCTCTTGGGCTATAAAGATGCTAGCTACCAATTTAAAATATAATAATATGTCGGAGACGGTCATTTGGTGGCCAAACGAAACGCAGCACGATTCCCGGGAGATGGCAGCACGATTGCGGTATCGTCTGAACTCGGCTAACTTTGTGCTACGACAGAGCTTAGCCGATGGACGCGCGTAGACGCCATCACCCTTATCCATAGATTATACACTTAATATCACTTACCCATAGATTATACACATTCGTTTTTGTGTTATAACGTCAAGAGAAGATTTCTAAATTATTCTAAGACAGCAAACGTGATTGGTGTACTCAATATTTTTCTTAGTTCGATCGTATTAATAATTGTGGCTTCTCCGGTTACGTACAACTTTCATACGTTACAATGTATCTGTTGTTATGTAAAACGATAAAAGCAGTCGTTTAAAGCACTAGACTGACGCAATAATTTTTTATCGATGTCTCTTTTGTATTCTAATTGATCGCAATTAATTGTTCTGTTTACGCGCAAAAATTACATTAAGTATTTATCACAATGTTCTGTGTAGATAGAACAAGCTAACGAGTTCAATGACTTCCTTGCTCATTTAGGTCTACCATGGGTACTGGTTTGAGGAATTGTGTTTTCAAAATGAACGTTTCTCCTGTCACTGTTGGATGTTTTAAAAACCTGGTTGAAGTGTTTTTTGCTGGTGGTGCGTCGTTTTGTGAGCCCGCATGTGTAGATACCACGACCCCGTCCATTTCCGCCGCGATGCAGCAATGCGTTACGCTTTGAAGGGAAACTCTCCCGTTGTATTATATAACGGAGACATGGAAGTCATGTCTTTTTTTTATTGCTTAAAATGGGTGGACGAGCTCACAGCCCACCTGGTGTTAAGTGGCTACTGGAGCCCATAGACATTTACGACGTAAATGCGCCATCCACCTTGAGATATAAGTTCTAAGGTCTCAAGTATAGTTACCACGGCTGCCCCACCCTTCAAACTGAAACGCATTACTGCTTCACGGCAGAAATAGGCAGGGTGGTGGTACCCACCCGCGCGGAGTCACAAGAGGTCCTACCACCAGTAAAAACATGCATGGTGTCTAAACATGCATGGTTTAATAGATACATAGACATAATATAGATGTTGGTAGGTTCGATGCACCGGGGTCGGTGGCAGCCTTCCTCAGCTGCTCCTTCTTCTTACTTCCTCTTCGCTTTATTTCTCTACTTACCAACTACTGACTAAACATAAAACTATACTAAGCTAATCACTGACTAGGGCTATGTTATACCATTATTGTATTGCTCAGAATGCACCAAAGGTATGACACAAAAAGAAACTACGACTTTAATGCTAAACTAATAAACATGGTTTCCGTGCCTGGGCCCACCCCATACAATAACAATTATAAGTTGAGCTATGGTCTTTTTGGCACTCATCCGGCCTGGACTCTCTTTACGGGGCAACATGGCTTGATGAGGGAAAGAAGGCACTCCCCAGAAGGGGATAGCCCACATCCGATGTGGGGGGAAGGAATTTAAGGTTGAGACTCATCCGTCTAGGAAACAAAAAATGTCTTCAGCGGTAGGCAACAGCTTGACTGTACCACTGTCAATCACAGGTCAGAGTAACTCAGAGATATTCAAACAAATGCGCTAACGGATCACCGAATAGAAGACAGTAAAATATATATCATGATATAAACGGTGGTCAAGCCCTAGTCGATTCACATGCTTCACTTGCGGAGACCACTGTTACCTTATCATACAAATTCACTGAACTTCCTTCACCGAGGAAATTTAATTGAAATGTTTGAATAATTGTACGCTTATTAAGAAAAATTGATTGATTGAGAATTGATCTTAATCACTCGTAATCACAAGTACTCACAGCACGTCTTTCCAATTAGAATACAAGCGCTTCTGCGTTTGCTTATGAATACTAAGCTGGAATTCACTACTAATCCAACGATTTTGTGTACTTTTGAAAAATTAAATAGTGGAAAATGAATAACTAGATCTCGAGGGAAACATAGCCATGCTTTTTTTAACATGCATCGGTCTGTTTTATTTATTTAAACAACTAAAAGGGGCTCGCTCAATCTATAAACTAAACATCATTTACATAATATGGGTTTGGGTATAATTTTGATCGTATCTCGTTTTTGCGATCTTTTAAGAACATACTCGTAGCTTTTCTAAATTTAAAATCCATTGTGAATTTACGTCATTCTCGTGAACTGCGATATCGTATGACCTGTTTACTTTTTAAATCAAAATCACTTAGTAATTTAATCCCAAAGCAATTTAAAATAAAGGCAAACTATTATCGCAACAAAGTTAACGAGAATATGCCCTTACGCTTCAGATAATTGTATGTTGCAGTCGCTTTTATCAGTTCGTGCTCTTGTATAAAAGCACATCGGGTCCGTGTTGAGATGACAGTACTTGCAACAGGCTGTCTGCACAATGAGGGCTATCGTGGCGTTGGTGGTTGGCTTAGCCAGCTTGGCTGCGGCGAAGTTGGACTACAATAACTTAGGTGAGTGTTAAAGGATTTTTTTGTCGTAGAATTTTTATTTGACACTGTCGCCGATTAGACGCCCTGTGTTTTTTCCATAATCATTTTTATTGCTTCGACGGGTGAATGAGTTCAACGGCTGGTAAGTGGTTACCGGAGCCCATAGACATCAACAATGATTCCAGAGTCTCAGTTCTATAGTAAAATGGCGTCCCCAAGCTTGTGCGGTACGCTCTATGTACACTTCACTAGGCCACGACGACTTGTCTTAGTTTGAAGAGATAGGACTATGCCAGTGTTCAAATCCCGCTAATGGGTGCCAATATTTCTAAAGCAAGTGTACTTAGAACGTGTTTCACGACCGACAACTGCCGCAAGTAATCACATATATTTTATTTTCATAATTATTATTATAACGGTTCTACCTTTTTTCCCTACTTAATCGTTGGCAGCCTACGGGGCTATTTTAACTTCACGCGGACTGGTAGTTGAGCTCTCGGGCTTAGCCTGAGAGAATTGCTAACACTAGCCCTAGCAGCAGCAGTGTTTCGCTGAATGAACTACCGGTTCGGAATCGCGACCCACTGACAAGATCCGGCGAGAAACTCAGTGGGTTGTGTCTATGGGCTAGTTCGCACGTCGAATTCTTTGTCAGAGTCGACGAGTACCACGAGGACAGTGACCGATGTTTGAAGAGCCTAAAAGCACCGAGAGAGAATCGGGGCGATCCGACAAGACATGTTTTGGGCGACGGGGGCTTTGCTTAGCCCCTTCGCCTGCGTTGTACCTATTGCTGTCACTGTCACAAATGCTACATGATTTTCGGTTTTAATAATTGTTATTTTAAGATTGAATTAAGAAATGAAGAAAAAAAAGGAAGAAAAAGAAGAAAGAATACTTTGACTTCATGTGTCAAGATTCAGCTTCTAATGTCTACGGGGACTGGTTAAAAGATAAATCAGGCCGTGATGTGATCTGCATTAAAACAATAAATAAATAAAACTTTGTCCTAAGCCTGAAGGACATTCTACATGCATATCTAGATATTTTGTGTCAAATATTAATATTGTTTTTACCTACTTACTTACTATTGTATTAACAATATTAGCAATATTACCCGTTTATAATTTATCTGCTTTGGCCTAAGCCTTTAATGTCTAGCCAATGCGAAAGTTGAAGTTGATAATTCAACATTAAAATAAATTTGTTCTTCTTCTTATTGTTTCAAAATATAAGGACTTCTCTCAAGTGTTGTAAATAGTGCATTAGCGAAGTTGATAATCGAAGTATTATGCTATTAAACTTCGGTATTTAAATTGTTAAACTAGTCAAAAGCAGTCAGCAAAGCAGCTCGTTGTGATCACCAATTTTATGAAAAATACCAATTTAATAGAACCACTCAGGGCACATTTAACACGCTGATAAATACTGTATCTGTATGCTTTTGAGATTTGGCTATTAGATCGTAAAATATCATCAAAATCCGTCCAGAAGTTTTTGCGTGAAAATGGAGTAGTCATCGATCCGTCCTCACAAATTAATTTTAGCTACATAGTATACGCAAATATTTTTTTGAGAAATACCTCCTTCAGATTTGAAAATCCAGTGGTGACCTTAATAACAATCGTAAACCATGCTACGGCTAGATTTATGTAGACGAAGTAAAATTTCGTTTTTGCTTCAATACGATAATTTTAAACGTGAACAAACTTATTTGAACTCTTACAAATGAGACAAAAACGATTTTGAAACACTAAAATTAATTTTAGCATTATTTGAATTGAATTGTAGGTTCAATGGACATGTCTCAGAAACAGATGCTCGTTATGAAGCTGCTCAATCGGGTGATGGAGCCAGTTATGTACAAGGAAATCGAAGAGATCGGCAAAAGTTTCAAGTTTGAAGACAACAAGGATTGTTTCTTAGTGAGTTTATTTATTTATTTATGTACACACAGAAAACAAGACACAGTACAGAGTAATAGGAAAATTATGTACAATGAGTTTTTAATTTAAAATCAGACAAAACCTAAGCATACGTATATTATTATTTTTTATAGCTTAGATGGGTGCTAAGTGGTTACTGGAGCCCATAGACATTTACAACGTAAATGCGCCACCCACCTTGAGATATAAGTTCTAAGATCTCAGTATAGTTACAACGGCTGCCCTACCCTTCAAACCGAAACGCAATACTGCTTCACGATAGAAATAGGCAGTGCGGTGGTACCTACCCGTGCGGACTCCCAAGAGGTCCTACCACCAGTGCATGAGACAGAACTCATGACAAGGCAAAGGGGGCAAGTGAAGCGGTTACACATCTCTCCCAAAAAAAAAAAAAAAGGTTTGGACGTTGGTTGTTGAGCGACAGGAGGTTTTAGTCAGTTCGACTCTGATATACCCCGCCCAGTAATCCCCAGAAAGTGGTTACTGGAGCCCATAGACATCTACAACGTAAATACCACCATCCACCTTCAGATATGAGTTCTAAGGCCTCAGTATAGTTACAACGGCTGCCCCACCCTTCAAACCGAAACGTATTACTGCTTCACGGCAGAAATAGGCGGGGTGGTGGTACCTATCCGTGTGGGCTAACAAGAGGTCCTACCACCAGTAAAAGTTACGAGTTCTAATTGTGCTTCACACGGCAATAGTGTTGATTAGGTACTTGGTCAGGATTCAGTAACGCAGACCTGGTTCTTCTTCTAGCTATAATAATTGATGTATAGAATTAGAAAGTTTATTAAATCTTACAAAGTTTTAAATTTGAAAAAAAAATAATACTCTGCCTATAAACCTTAAGTTTCGTGCAAAATTTATCACGAAATGAGTGGTGAAATGACATTTTTACTGTAACTATTTGAAGGCGCCTTTGATAGCATACATGGAAAACATTTTCAAGTTAGAATAATAAATCATTTACTTTATGAAATAATATTCAATTTTTTTCAGAAACCCGAAGTCGTGAAGGGTTTCGTGAACATGGTCCAATTTGGCCTCTTACCTCGGGGTGAAATATTCACTCTATACGTAGACCGTCAACTGAAGGAAACCGTGACAATGTTCTACATGCTCTATTACGCAAAGGACTTTGCCACATTCATTAAGACCGCCTGCTGGATGAGACTCAATGTAAACGAGGGGATGTTTGTGTACGCCCTCACCGTTGCTTGCAGACACCGCGACGACTGCAAAGGAATCGTATTACCCGCTCCCTACGAAATTTATCCGTACTACTTCGTACGCGGCGACGTTATACAGAAAGCCTATCTCCTCAAAATGAAACAGGGTTTACTCGATAAGAAGCTTTGCGATTTTTATGGCATTAAAAAAACCGAAAATAACGCTTACGTTATCGACGAGAACGTTTATGACAATCGTGTGTACCTGAACGACGAAGACAAACTGCGTTACTTCACCGAAGATATAGATCTTAACACTTACTATTACTACTTCCATGCAGATTATCCGTTTTGGATGAACGAGCAGATGTACGGCAAAGTTCGAGGCTATGAATTGACGCTTTATATGTACCAGCAAATACTGGCGAGGTACTACATGGAACGTCTGAGCGTCGGATTAGGTAGTATTCCTGAATTATCTTTCAACAAACCAATAAAGAATGGATACTGGCCATGGTTAATGCTGCACAATGGCGTGGAAGTGCCTGTGAGGTTTAACAACTATTCGCCCGTTGGAGAAAACGATGCTGGCATGGTTCGTCTTATTGAGGACTATGAAACGATTATCAGAGAAGCAATCATAAAAGGATACGTCGAGGTATATCTTTTATAACCTAAAAAAAGCATGTCAGCATGAAGCATGATAGTAAAAACTATAAAGATTGTAAGATACGGATAGATAAAATACTCGTTTTTTTACAGATGAATGGAATGAGACTCGAACTCACCAAGCCAGAAGACATTGAAGTACTCGGTAAACTCATCTATAGCACGGTAGATAAGGTCGACGAGGGTGTCAAGTGCGTTGAAGCTTACCGCTACCTTCTAATTATCATGAAATCGGTTCTCGGTCTTAATACTTTGGAATCTGACAAGTGAGTAGATAGTTTGGTCATATTATGTTAGTAAAGTAGATTTGGTAAAATACCAACAGTATGCGTCCGGATTTTCAGTGTTGTTTGTTGAAAGTCATTACAAAGGGATCGTTTGTTACCAACAAGCAATACTTCAATTTAATGCTATATCTTGATGAAAAATGATAAAATTTTAACCATTCAAACTATTGTGACTTCAGTATTCTCAAACACAATGAAAACAATTGAATATGCAATTTCGAAAAGGGCACATGTCGCATATTTTGTCAAATACGTTTTTTCATATACATGTAGTTTTGAGGCTTACCTACACCCCTTTTATAATAATTCCAGTAATTTTCAATTGCTAATTAACACTAAAATATATCTCAAAAGTTAATATTTTAAATTTTACACTGCTTTAGAAAATAATCATTTTTTTTTCATTTCCTGAAAATTTTACATTTTCAGAGATGTGCCCTTTTCTAAATTGCATATTAAATTAGATATCGCTTTAATTTGGTTTATAAACAATAAAATATGAGCAACAAATGATTTCAGATACTTCGTTGTGCCAAGTGCACTGCAATCATACCAGACTGCTTTGCGTGACCCGCTATTCTATCAACTACAAAAACGTCTTATCGATTTCGTTTACTTGTTCAAGAAACGTTTACCTTGTTACACGAAAGAGGAACTCTATTTCCCTGGTGTGAAAGTCGAAAATGTAGTTGTTGATAAACTCATAACTTACTTCGACGAATACCTGATGGACATGAGTAACGCAGTCGTACTGAATGAAGAAGAAATGAAGAAAGCATCTTCTGACATGAATTTCTTTGTACGCAAAATCAGGCTCAACCATCAGCCTTTCAAAGTATCTGTTGACGTTATGTCTGATAAATCAGTGGATTGTGTTGTGAGAATGTTTTTGGGACCGAAAGAAGACCAATTCGGAAATATGCTGGACATCAATGACAACCGAATAAACTTTGTCGAAATCGATTCCTTCGTTTACAAGTTGACCGGCGGGAAAAACACGATCACCAGAAAATCTGGAGACATGAACAATTTAGTGCCTGATAGGATCATGACTCGTGATATGTTCACAAATTTGGAAACCATCAGAGAAAACAAGTTGCCAACATTAATGAAAAACCATAAGACCGGTTTTCCTACAAGATTATTGCTGCCCAGAGGAAAAGCTGGTGGTATGAAAATGTTGCTTTACGTCATCGTATCGCCTTTAAGGATGATGGAGAATGCTGACTTGTCGATGTTCGAATCGAAGAACTGCGAATCGTGCATGAACTGTAGATGGGCCGCGCTACTCGACAAAATGCCTCTCGGTTTCCCTCTGGATCGTGAAATTGACGTTCCCAACTTCTACACATCGAACATGAAGTTCGTTGACGTGATGATTTTCCACAAGAAACAGACCTGCGACATGAAAATGCGATGGGACCGCTGGGTGCTCAGAGATTACAACTTAATGAACAGAATGCCGATGCAGTCTGAAACTTATTCCCTTGATAACGAAATGAACATGAAAACGAATAGCAATCAACTCAACTACCAACATTAATTAATTAAAACCAAACAACGGCACACTTATGTGAAATGTTTTTGTTAATAATATGTTGAATATTCGGAACATTTAACATTATCAAAATAAAGCATTGTATGATAAATTTATTTTTTATTTTTCTACGAACTGAGAATCGATTTACGTTGCAGCGAAATTGTCAGTATTTGTAATTGTAGTATCATTGTCAAAAATTTCAAGTTTCGTCGTCCTCAAAGCCAGTTTCATTAGGAACAGTAGCTATTATTTTGAACTTTACATCGATAATTGCTCGATAGAAAATAGTTATATAGTTAAGTAGGTTATTTTTGTACCATAACAACCGAAAACAATAATAACATAGTTCATCTAAAATTATTCGCGTATAATAGTCCTTAGTTAAATAACGATAATTGAAATGATTTGGCAAAGGAATGTTTGTGCCATTAGACCAACTTGTTATAAATAAACTCAATTATTAGTATACTTCCAAAGTAATACCAGACGTCAGGCTTGAGTCAATAAAAAAATGTCACGTCTTTATCAAGTATAAATAGGTAGTAAAATTCTAACTACAACTCAAACATTTCCAATATGGATGAAATTTATCTTTAAAAGTATCATTTGCATTTTAAGCCCAAATGAATTGGTTATTCAAAACACACATTAGCAATGCCAGAACAAACAATGTTTAAGCAATTAGATGGGTGAAGTAAATTTTCTGATTTCTTTTCTCTGAAAAACTCTGATTTCTTTTAAAAAATATTGCAAACACTAAATAACGAGACACTCACGTACAACATTAAGTTTTTAAAATCTGGCTTTCTTGAATAAAGACAAAAGCTATCCACGAACGGTAAAATTCTTTATTAGCTTTCAATATATATTTGTTTAAATATTTTTCTTGCTTAGATTTTTTTATTTAGATTATTGGACTAATATTAGAATGTTAGATCTGTAAAACCAAAAACACTATTCAACCACATTGCTTAAGTAACATGTGTCGCCATCTGCACTTATTATATATAAGCTTGCAGACAAACTCAACGTGAAAGTAGTGTATTCATTTTTCACTAGATGCCGCTAACTTATTCTTTCTTAAAAATGACATCAAATATTCTGGAACTACGCTATTATTATAACTCAGTATATTAAATGACAATAATAATCTATACATAACGGACATTCTCTCAAACTAAATTTGAAAATTCTCTTTATTTTTTTACTTTAACTATACTAATCAAAACTGCAAATTTTATGCCACAGTCGTTGTATGTTTCAATTGAGACCACGACCTCATGTGTCAAGGTGGATGACATGGTAGATGTTGTGAAGCTATAATCTCTAGGGCTCAATGAGTGGTACGAGGGCGGCACTGAAAATTTCGGGAATTAACGAAGTGATACAACATTACTATTTAAAAATGTATTTATTGCTTTTCGAAGTATTCTCCGCGAAATTTGACACATTTTTCCATACGATGGAACCAATCATTGAAGCAACCATTCCATTCGGAAGTTGGGGTCTCCAAAATGGCCGTTTTGTAGGCGTCCACAGCTTCTTCAGGTGATGAAAATCTCTGTCCACGCAATTTATTCTTTATTTTAGGGAAAGTATAGAAATCATTAGGGCTTAGGTCGGGGCTGTACGGCGGATGGTCTAATAATTCTATGTTTTCTTGCTCTAAAAACTCTTTTGTTCTGTACGCGGTGTGAGAACTCGCATTGTCGTGATGGAGGATGATGCGGCGGTTGCAGTTCTCTTTACGGAGTTCAGAAACGACCTGTGGCAAACAAATGCTAGCATACCATTCTGCATTAACCGTTCTTTGTCCCAAAGAGACAAACGTGGCCACCATTTTTTTTGCAAAACTCCGTGAATGAACAATTTTTTGTTGGCTTTAACTCATTTTTGAACACCCAAACTCGTGACTGGTTTTTTGTTTCGGGTTCGTACGCGTATATCCAGGATTCGTCACCTGATACAATGTTGTATACAGCATTTGAGGATCCTGCGTGGAATCTTTCGAGAGTTCTGACGCACCAAGTAACGCGAGCCGCTTTTTGCTCTTCACAGAGCGAATGCGGTATCCATCGGGAAAACAACTTTTTTACACCTAATTGTTCATGCAAGATTATTTGTATTTGACTCATGCCAATGTCTAAAGTTGCCTGAATTTCGCGGTATGTCACATGTCGATCTTCCTCAATCAGCTTACGCACAGCATCAACGTTTTCTTGGGTGACTGCAGTTTTTGGACGACCTTGACGGGGATCATCACTGAGCTTGACACGTCCACGTTGAAACTCAGCAAACCAGCGATAAATTGTGGTTTTGGATGGGGCTTCATCACCAAATGCAGAAATCATCCGGTCAACACACTGTTTTTGTGTTAAACCACTTCGAAAGTCATAATAAATCATCGCTCTTGAATTTTCTCGAGTCAATTCCATTTTCTCAACGACTAAACAAGTTTGACAAAACCTCGTAACAAGACCGAGAATCTTTTTTTAAATAAATAAATGGTATTCGATTTTTAAAACCAAGGAGTTTTCAATTCAAAAGATTTTAATATGACAGGAACAGTGGAAATATTCCATTCCCGATACTTTTAGTGCAGCCTAGTAATCCCTTAACATAAAGTGAGCCGTGACCCCTCATACATTTAAAAAATAAATTAATCAATAGTATTATTTTTTATTTTATTTTATTGCCCTTGTAGGCAGACGAGCACACGGCCCACCTGATGGTGGGTGGTTACCGTCGGCCATGGACTTCAGCAATGCCAGGGGTAGAGTCAAGCCGCTGACTGCCACTTAATATTCTCCACAAGCCTCGTTTGAAGAAGGACATGTCATAGCGCTCGGGAAACACCGTGGAGGGGAGCTCATTCCATAGCCGGATGATACGAGGCAAAAAATACCTCTGGAAACGCACTAAATGAAATATAAAGTTTAGATTGAATAATAAATAATATACCTACTTTAAATCCAAAAAATCCATTGAAGAACCTTCTAGAATTACGTATGTACAAAACATATTTGTTATAAATATTTAGAAATAATTTTCAAATGTTATCTATTGAACGATTTTTTTTTTTTTATTGTCCTTGTAGGCAGACGAGCATACGGCCCACCTGATGGTGAGTGGTTACCGTCGCCCATGGACTTCAGCAATGCCAGGGGCAGAGCCAAGCCGCTGCCTACCGACCTACTTTTCTATACACATACGAACTGCAGCTAACCTATCGAGATTACATGACACTTCGAATCCTCCCGATCTATTCTCACTGATGCATTCCTAGTACCGCTCACCGTTCTCGTCAAATCCAACGAATGCGACTACTGATTTCATCGAGAAAGTTAACCCACAGACACAGGCCGCTGAGTTTCTTGGTTTCTCTCTCTCTAGACCTTTTCAGTGGTCGCGATTTCGATCCGGTGGTAAATTCAGTGAAGCACTGTCCTTTACCTTTAGCACAATCACTCAGGCTGAGCCTTGTGAGCTACACGTCTGGTAAAGCAAACATAACGCCTCGTGGTTACTATTTTTTTTAATTTATTGCTTAGATGGGTGGACGAGCTCACAGCCCACCTGGTGTTAAGTGGTTACTGGAGCCCATAGACATCTACAATGTAAATGCGCCACCACCTTGAGATTTTAGTTCTAAGGTCTCAGTATAGTTACAACGGCTACCCCATCCTTCAAACCGAAACGCATTACTGCTTCACGGCAGAAATAGGCGTGGTGGTACCTACCCGTGCGGACTCACAAGAGGTCCTACTACCAGTGAAATATATATATATATATATATATAGCTATAGGTAAGCAAAAAGAACTGTTCAGGTGGTACAATCGAATCGAGGCGACTTCGTATTGCCTGCTGATGAAGAGAGGATGAAGGGGCAGCTATCCGACGTCCTCGATGTCCGACGAATAGTAACGTAATAATGGCGACGACGGCAATGTTGTGTGGTGACCTCAGCAGCGAACCTGCGCGTGCGCGTTGTTAGATTGTGGAAGGCATCACACTCCCTGCATCCACCGTGAAGTCATCCCGCGTTCTGGTTTGAAGTAAGGGACGCGTTCTACAATCCAGTAATGTTTTTTATCTACATATTCGCCAGTGATCTGGGGGGTGAATTCTGGCTTCACCGTAACCGATGGGCTCACGGGGCTCAGCATGAAAGATTTTTCCAATATTAAGCTAACCGAAATTTATGCTTCACAGTGGGTGATAGTAATGACGTTGTACTGTTGAACGGTCCACTTCGTATAAAATGTCTACGGAAATTCTTAGACTTACCGTAATTTTACTATCCACCTTGAGACATGAATTCTAAGTCCCAAATACAGTGTAGTATAGTATACAGTATGAGCCTACCCTACAATGAGGAACTCAAGCTTCGCCCTAGAAATTATGATGAACCCACCCGTACCTCACCTCACAAAACGTACCTATCAGCAGTAAATACACAAAATATATTTTTAGCATTTCGTAAATTCGGTGTTATTCGCTTATCTTAAACGGTAGGTAGCGGCTTGAGTCTGCCCCTGGCATCGCTGACGTCCACGAGCGACGGTAACCGCTCACCATCAGGTGGGCCGTGAGCTCGTCTACCTAAACGGACAATAAAAATAAAAAAATAAAAAAATCTATCGCATGTGCTTAGTTCGTGTATTACCATTTTTTGATTTTATTACCTCTGTATTCTTGCCACACTGTAGCTGTTATACATTTTATTTATTTGATTTTAATCAAACATCTCCTCTAGCAGATGCCAGCCGCATGTTTGGAAATATTCATCATCAACTCAGGCCTAAAAGAATTATCTCACTGTAAGCATCGACATGTCTATTTTTTTTTGTTTATTGCTTAGATGGGTGGACGAGCTCACAGCCCACCTGGTGTTAAGTGGTTACTGGAGCCTATAGATATCTACAACAGCAATGCGCCACCCACCTTGCGATATCAGTTCTAAGGTCTCAGTATAATTACAACGGCTGCCCCACCCTTTAAATCGAAACGCATTACTGCTTCACCGCAGAAATAAGCAGGGCGGTGGTACCTACCCGTGCGGACTCACTAGAGGTCCTACCACCAGTAAAAACAATCTGTCTATACAAAAATGTTCTGCAATTCAATCCATAATCAATTCTATACAGCTATATTGCTTCCTCACATTCAAATTCATCACCTAGCAACAAGTTAACATCATAAAGCTTATTATAACATTAATATTTTGTCTTCAAAAAGAAGAAATATTTCTTGACAAAGATCACGTTTTAATCAGTCTATGTTAAAAGGTTATATTATTTTTCTACAATGTGACTGCATAAATTTCGCGATAACAGACTTGACCTTCCCCTGACTTTATAGGGTATCACACAGACATTGTTATGGCGTGTCTTTACAAAACAATATCGCGGCTATTGAACCTTAACGATGTTAGGTTATTTTTTTATAAATATGTTGATGAAGCTCGATCGCACATTGTACGTCCATGACGGACCTATAACTTTTCTTATCTCTCTAACGTGAATGTCAATAGAAGATGAGTAATCCGTTCATTAGTTAGCGGGTCTAACACAATTTCAGAAATGAAAAGCTTTGAGCATCGCTATGTTATTCTTTTTTTTTATTGCATACATGTGTGAACGAGCTCACAGACCACCTGGTGTTGAGTGGTTACTGGAGCCCATAGGCATCTGCAACGTAAATGCGCCACACCTCTGAGAAATAAGTTCTAAGGTCTCAGTATAGTTACAACGGCTGCCCCACTCTTCTAACCGAAACGCATTACTGCTTCACGGCAGAAATAGGTAGGGTGGTGGTACCTGCCCGTGCGAACTCACATAACCACCACTACTTACGCAGTTTAGCATAAAATTTACGGATTCCATCTTTATAACAGAGTATCCGCTAATAAACTTTAAATGTTTCAATATTTTATTAATCACTAGCGGACTTGAAAGACGTTGTTCTGTCCTAAATCCGAAATTTCAATACTTTTTTTCGAAAAAAAAAAAACGTAAAATAACGATTTTTAGTGGACCGAATTATGCATATAAAAAAATGTCGAATTCACACATATACAAAACACATACAATAAATTACATCAGAATCCAAAATCAGAAAACCAAATCAAACTTATCGTTGAATATCTTCTAATCATATACCAAAGATGATATGAAGGTAACAATAACAATAGCAACATTTTTTTTATTACCGTATAGCAAACGAGCATACGGCTCACCTGATGGTGAGTGGTTACCGTCGCTCATGGACGACAGCAATGCCAGGGGCAGAGCCAAGCCCCTGCCTACCATTTAATACTTTCCACAAGCCTCATTTGAAAAAGGACATGTCGTAGCGCTCGAGAAACACCGTGGAGTCATTCCAAAATCGGATGGTAAGTGGCAAAAAAGATCTCTGGAAACGCACTGTGCATTAACGCAGTGGCTCCAGGTAGTACGGATGAACTCTACTCCGGTGGCGGGCGGTGCGCTGGTAAAAACGAGATGATAGTATCATTTCAAACAATTCCTCAGAGCATGGAACATACGGTACAAAATACAGAGGAAATCGAAGTCCCTCCGCAGACCCAGACGTTCCATGAACGTGCGTCTTTATAAGCTCACGATTAACAATAATATTAAAAAATCGAATAATAAAATTGTTTTGCGACAATCATGATAAAATGTATTTTTTGTTTATATATAAAGTTCATTGTCTAGACTTCACACATCGAGTTGACTCAACTATCTACGTTTACTATTTGAAAACAAAAAGTGCATTCACATTTTATATCAGTTTTCGTTGAAAATGACCTGCGTCTGAACCAGTATTTGTGCCCTATAAATTGACGAGCCAAATGTTGTTTTGCATCAGAATTAGACGCAAGATGCAAACGTTAGGAGTTCTAGTCTGTGCTTTTTTCATAGGCAGCTCCGGATTCTTAATTAAAGTGCCTACCGCTGTAAATCTACCAGAGCCATCGGAATCGGGTGAGTTTCTGTTCTTCTAATGCTAGATTAATAGAATAGTCTTAACCATAATATGGGTACTTCTTTCTCGCCGTCAAAAGCAAACAAATTTTGGGCTCACATTTTCGTCGGCTGTTATCACTAGGGGACGTTGTTATAGGCGCGGACACCGAGAACACTTTGTCTTAGCCCTCGTTTGGTAATTTAATCTATACTAATATAATAAAGCTGAAGAGTTTGTTTGTTTGTTTGTTTGAACGCGCTAATCTCAGGAACTACTGGGCCGATTGGAAAAATTCTTTCAGTTTTAAATAGCCCGTTTATTGAGGAAGGCCATAGGCTATAATAATATAACATCACGCTAAGACCAATACAAGTGGAGCACCAATAAATAATTTTTCAAAATCGGGATTTTTTCCCTTTTGAGAGGTTCCACTGTGTGGAAACGGTGAAAGTTTAGCTAAAATAATGTGTGACAGAATTGTCATTGAAAAATCTAAAAAAAGTCCGCGACAGCAATATCTATATGTTAAGATTGGCTCACTATAACCGTTTTTTATGCTAACCAAATTTGTTCTAAAATAAAGCATTATTTGTGAACTGTTCCACGCGTACGAAGTCGCGGGCAAAAGCTAGTATTAAATAAGGAAGTTTATACCCCAAAAAAAGGGAACTCTTAAAACGCACTGTCGTGGAACGCAGCGGTTCCCGCACGGAGGAATTCTATTATTATTAAAGATGGTGCAATAATAAAAATGAGATCATTGATGATTGAGATAATCTCATTTTTTTGATTTGACCTTGATGTCACGATGAAAGAATATGAGTAGCGTTCAATCCCAAGCGACCTTTTGTAATTTCTTCTACGATTTCAACATATAAAACAAATTCTACACGCAAAATTATATATTTAATGAACCAGTCTAACTGAAATGTTATCGCTTTTCTTTTAATTTTAAATTATTTGATTAAAATTTTAATGTACTTTAACATGAAATCAGTTCCCGTCAACTTGGTGACTGTTCAAAAACTACTATTGCCGCTTTTCGAGGATGTCTGCGAAATCAGCAAAGATCCGGACATATTGAAATCTGCCCAGGAATTCTTAAGCTTATTAGATGAAGATTTTACGGTGAGTGTGAATGTTATTTTTAAAATAAAATCGTTGAGGAGCTAAATATTTGCGAATCGGTAACATGAATGATAGGCAATACTAAGGTTCGTAGCAGGATATTCCGAAATTTCAACATGTCTCAAAGTTCTAAGTAAATAGAAGCTTTCACTTTGTGATTTCAATAGGCTCTGTTATAATTAGGTGGGCTCCATCCATCATATACGTCCCCGAAATATATACACTAATATACTCTAGACTCTAATATATACAGACTATAATATATACACTAATAATAGTAATATCTATTTATATCTAATAGAAATATTTGCGATAGTGCTTCCACATAGCTTGTTTGCTTGTAACTTCCGCTATCACACCACCTTCTTGAAGCAGAAATCATAATGCGTTTCCAGGGATTTTTTGCAACGAATCACTGGGCTTTGAATTAACTTTGAACTGCACGATGTTCCTCGATCACTGTGACATGTTCTACAAAAAAGAGCTTGATGACTCTCGATGAACCTTTCCTATACCTCTGGTATTGCCAGTGTCCATAAGTGACGTTACTCACTCACTGCCAGGAGGCTGTAAGCTCGTCTATCACATTTAGGATTCACATTTTAACACAATAATAGAAATAAAAAAGTTATTTCCTACAAATTTACATACAAATTACAAAACATCTTATAATGCTGTTATATTTTACAGGATCCTGAAGCGATATCGAATTTTAAAGAATTAAAATCCAAAGGATTTTTACCTAAAGGCGAAATTTTCACAGAGTATAATAAAAGTCATTTAGATGAACTTGAAATTGTCTACGAAACGTTGTGTAATGCGAAGAACTTCGACGTATTCTTCAAAGCTGCGGCATGGGCAAGACAAAACTTAAACTGTGGGGTTTACATTAGCGCTCTATATTTAGCCGTCGGAAAGAGGCGAGACACAAAAATGCTATTAATACCCCCGCCATATGAAATACTCCCCAATTATTTCATTAACAAAGATGTTGTAATCCAAGGATCGTTTATCGCTTCCGGCCAAGAACTCGAACTATCTGATAACGTTGAAGTTGAAGGAAATTCGTACACGATTAACGCTAATTACACGGGAAGTTTCTTTGAAAATAACGACGAGTCTAAATTGGCGTACTTTCGTGAAGACGTCGGCTTGAACACTTTTTATTATCTAAGAAAACTGAAGCAAGCGCCGTGGTTCAATAATGACATTGTCAATGGTAAATACGGGGAAAATTTGTTTCAAATGATGACACAATTGAACGCTAGATATAATATGGAACGCTATGCGAACGGACTACCAGAGCTTGTTAGTTATACGTGGGCATCTGTGCCAGATGTGCCGTACGATCCTACGTTAATATACACAAACGGAAATGAATTTGGTTCTAGAAATGACCATCTACAAATGTTAGATTCGGAGAGTGTCGGATTGCTTCAAACTATTGAGAGCAACATTGGCACCGTGGTTCAACATATGGTAAGTTTCAAAATCATTATCAAATATCAAAATATAAGTAATGTTTTGAAATAGTTTTTAGCACATATTTTGAAATTTTTCTTTTTTCGGCATTAAATTTTAAACATTTCTCGACCTATATTATTGATTTCAGATCGACACTGGATACAATAAAACACAAATATTAAACCATTTAATGGAAATCCTTGTAACGGGTGACAGAAGCTATGAGACATTGTCACGACATCTCCTTGGCAAAGATCATACCGACATCGGGTAATTTAGACATCGATTGAGCTATATTTATGATTAATAGGCTCTTAAAATGATCTCAATGTTCTATTCCATTTGTACATTTTCAGATATCCGTCTGCATTACAACACTACATGACAACGGTAAGAGACCCGATGTTCTGGATTATTAATAAGAAAATCGTGGACATTGTTTATAATGCGCTACAATACGTACCACCGTATGAACGAAATGAGTTATATTTCCCAGGAGTAGAGGTCGTAAATGTTGATGTTAAGAAAATGTTAACAGCGTTTGACTTCTCTGAATTTGACGTGTCTGAAGCTTTAAAAACAACTGAAGATAAAACCACGTTCCAAATTAAAATTGGTCAACCGAGATTAAATCACAAGCCCTTTACTATCAAAGTGAACATTTCGTCATTAATATCACAAAAGGGCGTTGTTAAAATGTATCTTGGACCGAAAGTATTACCGGGCGAGTTTGCGAAGAAGAAAAATATGTTTACGTTGCTTGACAGCTTTGAAACAAGTTTGAAACCGGGCACGAACATCATAACAAGAACATCCGATGCTATGAAACATTTCTCTAACGATTTAATTTCTCTTAGAACTATACACAAATACGTACAGAATGCAGAATTTGGCTTAGACGCTATTCCATTTAAAAGTTTTGATTTTCAAACAGGCTACCCTTCAAGGCTAGTCCTTCCCAAAGGCTCTACTGAAGGAGTACAACTCCAAATATTTGTATTCGTTGCCCCACTTTATAAGGGCTTCGAAAACTTTAGTATATTACCACGTGCAGAGTTTAACAAAGCAATACTTTCTCCTGGCTATCCTTTAGATTTGACTATTGAAGATAAGCAGTTATTCGATTTACCAAATGTTTTCTTGAAAGATATTATCGTTATGCATAAAGGAGATAGTAAAGTTGAAAACTATGGCGGTGCCGGTGTCAGTAAAAAGTGGTATGGCACCAATACATACGATCCTTCTTTGAAACCAAATTATTCATCAAATAATGAACCATTTGATTATCAGTCCAAAAAGAGTCAATATGGAAAAAAAGACTACTACGCTACTGATAGCAGTGGTTTTAAAAAAGAAGAACCAATTAACATGATTCTTGACACAGAACAGAGAGAGGAATTAATGGAAGGTCCAGCTAAAAGACCTATTCTAAAACTGTCAGCTGGATTAGATAATAATTATCAAGGTAAAAGTAATGATTACAGATCTAAAAACGTAAAATATAGTTACGAGGATCAAAATAAACTATATTCCTCTGATGACACAGTAAATAAAAAAAATGTAATCAGAAATGAAAGCCCACAGGAAAGCATTCTACATGAACAAAATTTTCAGGAAACAGAGCCTCCAAATAAACCAATTCTATTTGCAGACAGTTCACAGAATATTGTGACTGGGAAAAATCAAAATGAATTTCAAGTTCCAGGTATACTGTCATTGCCTAGTGGCCCAATCACCAATATTGAAGATATACCATTCGATATAAATTTCAATAAAAAAGGCTCGGATATATCTAAAATTTCAAAATTAAGATTTTTTATAAATATCCCGAAACAAAATTTTACAATATACGACTACATCAAAAAATTAATGGAGAGTAGTCAAGATGATGAATTGTACGAGTAATGTAAAAATATAGTTAAATTTTAGAAATAAATGTTATCTTTATTTTAAAATCGTTAATACAAATGAATGTCAATAAAATTTGCTATGTAACTGTTTGTTTTTTTTATACGACTGCACAATCTCACACAATATTATTTTTACGAATGCAACACAACATTAACGATTGCAGATTAAAATTTAATAGATCGTAAAGCTTTGAAAGCTATTACGCTAAACATAATGTTCTACCAGAAGTATTTGTGAAGGAACAGAAACCGATACAGTATTTTGCTCTTTAACGTGGTTTTCTATCATTGATTTTGGAAATGGTCCAAAAATTTACAACGATGTTACGCTTTCCCTATTTTCATCGTGGAAAATTTAAAAACCATCGGTCACCGATGTGACAACAGCTAGAAAACAAATAGAAATACTTTTACAGTTGCTTACAAGGTTTTACATTGCAACGTATTTTTTTTAAATAATAATCACACTGTTGCCTTTGCTTATTAAATATATAAATAACCTTATTTTTGCTTCAAGACTTTAAAATTGGACAAGTAATTTTAATTAAACATTTTAAAATTGAAAAGACTGATATGTCACCGGAACTTTAATTACAAAAAAAAAAAGATAAATTCGGAAAACAAAAAAATATTTTAATTTACGAAATTAATAGCTCAGACATAATATTTGGAATCCATGGAGTTCGTACTGGTAACCAAAAAAAATTTACATACTAAATATTGTAGAAAATAAATACTAAATAATAGGCTTTAAATGCTAAAATCCTTCCTGATATGAAAAGTCACAAAGCTAATAAAACCGAAACAAGTTTTAAATTATCGTAAGTTTTGTGTATATTTGTGAGCTTTGCTCTCACACTATTTTGTTTGTTGGCAAATAGAATTGTGAGCAATTAATTTAATAATCTCAGCTCAGCACTTAGACTTATCAGGCATTCTGATCGTGTGGACGAGACACATTCACTCACGCGAAGTGACAAATTAATAGATAACATAGTAGATGAGATTAGGCACTCTGTCTGCAATGTGTTAGAAACAAAACACAATACAAAAATATTTAAAAGGACGGAATTATGTTTTTCTATGCTTGTTTAGGACTGTTTGTAACACATTCTAAAACTAAAAAAAAATAAGACAATAGATATTACTAAAAATAATGGATTTTACAAGTTCTAATTTGGATATGCTTCTTTATTCATTAAGATAATATATCACTTTTATGGACTGCTTTGTAGTGTTCTTATTTTGTTCTTTGGGACCCAAATCCCAATCAAAAATGTGAAAATGGGATTAAATAATAATACATATATGTAGAGATGCTTGATATAGACATACTGACAAAACAACAATAACAATTTGAAATGGTTGTAAAACGCATCCTAAGCCCGTACTGGTGGGCGTCACCATCCTGCCTATTTCTGCTGAGAAGTAATGATTTGTGCTGATACCAGTTTTTGAGAATTGCTGTCTTTTATGAACCCTACTTTGGCCAAATTGTTTAAACGAGTGCAAAATCTAACACCGGTTCGGAATCGCAACCCACTTAGAAGATCCGGCAAGAAACTCAGTGGGCATACGTATTTTATGGTTCGTAAGGTGGAGACGTTCTATTTCTTTTGTGCAGTGAAACGAATATACAATCCTATTGATATTTTGTTACGAAACTCTTCCCGATCGACTACGTCTGGTCGATTATTCTGTAACTAAACCTACAGCTCGTTGGCTGTGACCCTTCTAAATCAAGGTCATGATTGTAGTTACTGCGAGTGCGTCCGTATGCCGACTAACATGAGATTTTTTATAATTTAAGTTAAAATATAATCTGGCAAATCTATTCATCAATGAAACACGAGACAGAAGCTATGAAATAAATCTAGATTTCCTAGTCCCTTTAAATTAAGTAATAACATGTTTTAAGTGAACCACCACCCATCTGGAGTCATTTGTCAGTGATACTTCAAGCAACCAATAATTTACATGTCATAAAAAAATAACATTAAACAGTACTAACACTTGTTTATTATCTTCTTCTTCTTCCAGTGCCTCTTCAATCCTGAAGGTTGGCCGTTAGCTTCCTGTATTTATTTCTGTCAGCAGCCAGCCGGAACAGCTGCTCGACTGAGGCAATACCGGTCCACTCCCGGATATTCCGGAGCCATGACTTCTTTCTTCGCCCAGCACGTCTCTTTCCGTGCACTTTGCCCATCATTATCAACTGCAACAGCATGTATCTGTCGTTCCTGAGCACGGGGCCGAGATATTCTATCTTGCGCTTTTTGATAGAAGGCAACATTTTCCGGGACATATGAACGCGCTGAAGTGCGGTTTCGTTCCTGACCTTGTTTATTATACTAATGCTTATTTCGTTTAATTTATTTGGGGTATATTTTTTGGGTGCAGTAAAGTATGCTCTATTTTATTTTTATATATTTCAAACTCTACCAGTCTTTACTGTGTCTATCGCTCTATATATGTCTATACTTTCTTCGAAATAACTCATACAACTAAAAAAAATTAAAAATAATAAAAAAGGTACAAAAAAACATGCTGATCGTATTTTAAAATTTATTAATCATATAAACGACGCAAACCAAACGAACAAAAATAAAAATATAAAGTACCTATTTATTTTTATATCAATTCAACTACATACGCACCTTTTTGTGAAAATTTAAGCTGAATTAATACATAATATTATTTACCGTATCATGACTGAAATTTAATTTAAGTATCAAAAACAAACTGACTGTTATTATGGATCAAATTTTCTCGCACTACTCACGCTAACAAAATTTCATGACATCATGTCGTGGTTTCAGTTTTTTAAATCCAACTAATTGCCATATTAACATCTATTGCAATAGAGTAATAAAATTATAGAGAAGACATCACTAACAAACTATTCAAAGAATTATTTACATTTGGCTCCCGGTCATCATTGAATTTGCAAGGAAAACGCTGGGTTCCGTGCCAAAATTAAAGCTTCATAATACATACTTAGTATAGGTGTATGATCGATGATTCAGGGTCCGGAGTATGTCTTTAAACTATTTGCATTTCGTTTGGCTGTGACATCTAATTATTTCGATTTTGGAATGCTGTGAAGCAATAAATTATCTGCAAGCCGGCTACGGATCGACTCGTTAATTTAATTTACTCTATGGGTTATTATGATTGCGATGGACTAGCTGAGGCTCTTAATTAAATTCCTCGTTGCGTTTCTATTAACTAAGTCGTAAAAATATATGTTAAATGTTTACGAACGTTTGAGAAGTTCATTTGTAAAAAAAAAACGTCTGAACGATGATAAGAATATGTTTCAATATTCATTAATTTATTTGCCTGATGATATTTAGAGAAATTTCTTGAAATCGGAACACAGTTTTTTTTTTCACAGGGAAGTTTTATATTGAAAGTTTTTTTTTATTATTGTTTCTCTGGGTGGACGAGCTCGCGGACCACCTGGTGTTAAGTGGCTACCGGAGCCCATAGACAACGTAAATGCCCCACCCACTTTGCGATATGAGTTCTAAGTCTCAGTTTTTACAGTACAACGGCTGCCCCACCTTTCAAACCGAAACGCATTACTGCTTCACGGCAGAACTAGGCAGGGTGGTTGTACCTACCCGTGCGGACTCACGAGACGTCCTACCACTACTAATTACGCAAATTAAAAATTTGCGGGTTAATTTTTATTACACTTTGTTATTCCTTCACTGTGGAAGTCAATCGTGAACATTTATTAAGTGCATATTTCATTAGAAAAATTAGTACCTGTCGGCGGGATCCGAACACCGATGCATCGCTACATACGAATGCACCGGACGGTCTTATCCTTTAGGCCATGACGACTAAAAATAAATATAAACCAAATTCAATTCAACCTTAATACATATTTGAATGAAATGCGTCAATTGAAATTGATTTAACGTGATTATCAAATTTATTTGCATAGGGTCATAGTTCATACATCGGTTGTATCAGGTACATCGGTTGTAGGGTGGCACGGTCACTTTACAATTCAATTTAGATTTTCAACTCATGTCTGAAGGTGGTTAGGGTAACTGTATTGTCTCCGATAAGCACTTAACGCGATGACCCGTGAACTCGTTCATCAATCTAGGTGATAAAAAAAAAGACAAACGCTATATGACGTCACACGAAACGTGATGAGCGCAATGACGTCAATTGTATGACTGCACGCAGTGTTCTTATAAAACAAACGTGTATTTGATGATACGATGTAACGATTTCATTGCACGTGATGTAATACACACAGGGTGTAAGAAAACCACTACTGAAACAATATTAATTAACTAAAATAAACCCAAATACTTGTAGTTTCGTTCGCATTTCACTTTGTGTATCGTGATGTTGTAAAGGATAAATAAATAAATAACAAATAAATATTTACTAACAATCACGTCACGTTAACTGGTCCCGTGATAAGTTCGAAAAGAACTTGTGTTACAGGTACCAGATAACGGATATAAATGTAAGATTTTTATTATACACATACATATATTTAATATACATCCATAACCCTGGAAAAGACATTTATATTTATCATACAAATATCTTCCCTTGGCGGGATTCGAACCCGCGACCCCCTTGTGTAGTGACCATGTCACTTACCACTACACCAGACGGCCGTTAAAGATAAAAGATATGGGCATGTGATTTAATTTCACTAACAAATCATTTTATGCGTATATTGAAGGTGTAATTGTTTATTGATATAATAAATGCTTCCGTCTACTTTACTATATCAGAGTCATCATGATCAAATTTTTTTTAACTGTAATAAAATAACAAATATTTCGAACAATAGTATCTTTTTTTCTTCTTTTTTTATTGCTTAGATGGGCGGACGAGCTCACAGCCCACCTGGTGTTAAGTGGTTACTGAAGCCCATAGACATCTACAACGTAAATGCGCCACCCACCTTGAGATATAAGCTCTAAGGTCTCAAGTATAGTTACAACAGCTGCCCCACCCTTCAAATCGAAACGCATTACTGCTTCACGGCAGAAACA